TGTTGCCAGATCAGAACATCCAGGCTTTGGAGGAAAGCCAGTTGCAGGTTCAGATGCTTAAGTTTTCTCATGTAGGGTCCTAATATAGTGTCGTGCTTATTTCTAATGACAGAATAATCAGGTAGATATTTAGTAAAGTGGCTTCCAGAAGAAAATCTAAAAAGAAAGTGATCAGGAAGGTGTTGACTGCTTTTTTAGAACTCAGTAGTTGTTCTGTTTTTTTCCTACTAGTATAAGTTTTCTATCTTCAGTGAAAATTTGATCTGGATTGAGGAAGAGAGATCTAGTCTTGTTATTTAGGCAAAGAAAAATGTATGCTGTCTTCTGAGTCTAGCTTAAATAGCACTGCTAGTGAAGATGTCTGGAGCAATCTACTTTATATTGCTAATTATGATGCTTTCTCATTATATAGGTGACCATTTGGCAACATGCTTATTTTCTTTTGCAGCCTGTTTGTAAGGTTTCACCAGAGACAACACTTCCAGCAGCATCTCCAAGGATGCAGGAATATCTCTGAACACCTCTGTGAAGTTACCCCTTGCTTCTTCATCTAAGCCTAATGAAAATGTGGCTTTGCCCAACCAGCCACCTTCTCAGTGGAGGAGGCACAACTACCACTTGTTAGCCAGTACTGTGTCTGCAGAAATGGCCAGAAACGGGCAGCTAATTTGGGAATTGGCCAAAAATTCAGAAGGGCTGATTGTCCTTGGGGAACAGGCCAATGCCAGGCCAAAGGTTGCCAATATTCTTTTTTTTTTTGAAGACACAGTCTAGCTCTGTCAACCAGGCTGAAGTGCAGTGGCGTGGTCTTGGCTCACTGCAACCTCCACCTCCCGAGTTCAAGCAGTTCTCCACCTCAGCCTCTGGAGTAGCTGGGATTACAGGTGCCTGCCACCATGCCCAGCTAATTTTTGTATTTTTAGTAGAGACGGGGTTTCAGGCTCTGAAACCTGATCACAAACTCTTGACCTCATGTTCTGCCCGCCTCGGCCTCCCAAAGTGCTGGGATTACAAGTGGGAGCCACTGTACCCGGCCGAGGTTGCCAATATTCTTTGTAGAAAATCAGTGCTTGCAATAAACCAATTGGCTACAAATGTGGAAGGGATAATTAGTACCCTACAGCAATTTAATGAACTATTCATTCCCTGGATCCTGGGAGGTCTTGCTCACAGCTGAGAGGTGGTCACTCATGTTCTAGGCCCTTTAGGCTACAATTATGTAATAGTGAAGAGTCCTTGTGCTTCAGGAAAAGCAAGATCAACCTATCAAGGAGGTGTTGACCGAGTCATAATTTTTCTACTTAACAGCGACTGCAAATTTAAATATGTGTTCTAGGGCTGTTCTGTTAACTCTGTTATGGTCTTTACGAGTAGTGATTCCAAGTTCTGATGAATAAAAAGTTTTTTGTTTTAATGTATTTATGATCAGCTCTATGCTTGAAGACATAGACAAAGCTATTTCTAACACCATGATTTTACAAAATATCTGATATTTTTGCCTATGTGACCATAGAAAAGACTAGATTATGGATAACAAACCACCAAGTTTTAATTGCTTTTATTTAGTAGGAGAGAAATAAGACAGGAAAAGAGAATTAATGCTCTTTTTCCCAGCCTGTGAGAGGTGGGCTTCTGAGTAAAGGTATATGAAAAACTGGGTGGAGGCTTGTAGTACTAAAATAAACCTCCAAAATATATTATTTTCTTTGAGGATTTATGTCAGCTTCTCTGTGAATATGGACATTAACAAACCTTATTTTTCAGAGATGGGGTCTCACTTTGTTGCTCAGGCTGGAGGGCAGTGGTTACTCACGGGTGCAGTCGTGGTACTCTGTAACCTTAAACTACTAGGCTCAAGCAATTCTCTTGCCTCAGCCCCACTGAGTAGCTGGGGCTCTATGGATGCATCACCTATTGGCATGTCTTAAATATTTCTAAGAGCAAAAGCCATGCTCTCTTACCTCATTTTAACTATCCATTTAAAGTTATTAGATGTATGTTCATTTATTTTACATAAATTGATCTGGCTGCAATTTGAGTGTGACTACTTATCTAAGAATTAATTCTAAATTTAAGGATTCCAACATCTGTAACTTCTTAATGTATTTTTTCATTGTCATTTCCAATCATCACTAATAGGAGGAAGAGATTTGGTAGTTTATATTATTTTATTTATAAATATCTAGCAGGTCCCAGCAAATAAAAAAGGAATATCTACAAATTCTTACTATTTTAGGTAAAGGGATATAACAGTCATGTCCAGACTTTTTGAAAGAGCAAGGATATAGTAGAAGGATTGGGAAAGAACTGGCAGTTAAGCCCCAGGGAGGTGGCTTTTAAACTGTCATCACCGAGCCCTGAGGTTTCCACAGAGGTGCCTCAGGACTCAATATAGGAAAGGCAGGGGACCCTAAGGTGGGACACTGAGCAATTCCCCACTGTCTTTAACCCAAGTGGCTTTACTTACTAGATTTCTGGGAGTCTGCTGATATTTAAAAAAAAAAAAAAAAAAAAAGCTAATAAGAAAAAAAACACACGAGCCCAGATCATAGGAGCAAATGCATAGTAAAGTCTAAGGAAAATAGTGCCTGGACCAAGAAAGCTATGTTGGTAATAATAAGAGATAAGAATGAATCTGTTCATTGATTAAAGGATTAAAAAAAAAAAAAAAGTATGGGCATGGTGGCTCACGGCTCTAATCTCAGCACTTTGGGAGGCTGAGCCACGAATATCACTTGAGGTCAGGAGTTTGAGACCAGCCTAGTCAACATGGTGAAACCCCATCTCTATTAAAAATATGAAAATTAGCCTGGCATGGTGGCACACACCTGTAATTCTAGAACTCAGGAGGTTGAGGCACAAGAATCACTTGAACCCAGGAGTCAGAGGTTGCAGTGAATTGAGATTCTGCCTTTGCACTCCAGCCTGGTTACAGAGCAAGACTCCATTTCAGAATAAGACTCTTTTTGACGGAGCAAGACTCCATTTCAAAATAAATATATAAATAGATAGATAAATTTAAAGAAAGAATGACTCTGAATATTGCTAAATTTCAGAGCAATTTTTGCTAACATAAGTTTGCTAAATTGAATTAAAATTGAAATGTGATTTAGTTCAGATCTATACATGAAGCCATTATGGTGAAAGCAGGGTTATTGCTCCCTCTTTTTTCCACCTGGGCTGCGGCCTGAAGAACAGAATATACAGGTCAGTCTTTGGTTTAAACAAAAATTGGTTGTTATTTTTTTTTTCAGAGAAAGCTATTTTACTGAAAATGGAACAATCTCTGAGTGAATAACTAGATACAATTTGTTAATCATATATAGGCAGACAACCTATGTGCCCCCTGCTTAGAACGTTCTTGCCCATTTTTGCCTACCAAAGTCCTATTCCTGTGGCCCTTTACTCCTCCAGAGAACGTCCAGAACTCTTCACCCTACAGTTGTCATTAATAACCCCCTTCCGTAATCTCTTGCCTTTGTACGTTAGCACTTATCACAGAATGCTCTGTTAGCTTTGCATCTCTTTTATCTCTAAATTGTAGCATCCCCAAAAGTTTAGTCTTTGCAATAATAGATGCCAAATAAATGTTAAGTGAGTTAAATTTGAAAGAGTAATGGAAGTATATGTTTAGTGAGAGAATACGTAAACAGAATTTGAGCTTTATTTTGACTTGGACATATTTCCAAATGTTAAAATTATGATAGTATACTAAAAGTAGTTTAAATATATAAAAGAACATTAAACATGTAAGCAGTAATTACAGTATGATAACTATTGCATCATATCCCTGTCTTAGAATATCTAGAAAAGGACCCACAGCCATAGCACTGTTTACCTGGTCACTGTTCAGTATCATGTTACAGTTTAACTGCCCTGATTGCTTCCTTGTATTCACAAGAGGCAAAGTTCCAGTAACATCACTTTTCTGATGCTGGCTTGATAGTCTCCATACTTCTTATCTTTTAGTTGCACCACATTGTACCCATTCTATGCTATGTCACACAACTTACCCAGCTTAGCTGTCATTTAACAAACATAATGGTAACAACACAGGCACCCAGTAGTAACCAAAACTTGGCATCATACCTCATGAAGAATTTGCAATTAACTAGTGTGGCATGGCCCCCCAGTTGAAAACCATGGTCTTAAAATATTTTTCTGATCTAGATGCCTCATTTTGTAGCCTGAATCCAGTCATTTCTATTATCCTAGAATTTGTTGTTCTGTGTCTCATTTTTCAAATTCTGTATTATCTTCATGGTTCTTACATTGTTTCCGTGTCCCATCATAGGCAGAATTTTACCTACATTCCCCAGCCTCTTGTAAAAGTTCCCCAGGCCTATTCCCAGCTGTAAATGAATCAATTTCAATTTGATTTTAGTCATTCATTGTAATTTTTTTTTTTTTTTTTTTTTTTTTTGAGACGGCGTTTCGCTCTTGTTACCCAGGCTGGAGTGCAATGGCGCGATATCGGCTCACCGCAACCTCCGCCTCCTGGGTTCAGGCAATTCTCCTGCCTCAGCCTCCTGAGTAGCTGGGATTACAGGCACGCACCATCATGCCCAGCTAATTTTTTGTATTTTTAGTAGAGATGGGGTTTCACCATGTTGACCAGGATGGTCTCGATCTCTTGACCTCGTGATCCACCCGCCTCGGCCTCCCAAAGTGCTGGGATTACAGGCGTGAGCCACCGCACCCGGCATTCACTGTAATTATTAATAGAGATTCCTTTCACTCTAAAGATCCTGGTTTGGACAATTATATGTTCACCTAGCCACAGAACACATATAGAGATATTTCTTGTTGCTACCACAGCTATAGCCAAGCAAGTACCTGCATAGACTGGGGCACTTTTTTTAAAAAAAAAAATTGCCAGTGTTCTCCAATTTGCTTGGCCTATCGTAATTTAAACAAATACTTTTCTAAGTATTGTAATTTGTACAAAATTGGCCGTCAGTTGGATAACTTGTTCAAGCTAATGTCTTGTCTGTTTCCAGGTTCCTCTCTTGGCTGAAATTTATGGTATAGAAGGAAACATTTTCAGGCTTAAAATTAATGAAGAGAGTCCCCTAAAACCCAGGTATGAAGTTCCTGATGTCCTCACAAGCAAGCCAAGCACTGTAAGGTAAGCCAAGGAGCGAGGTATCTTAAAGACACACCTGATACATTCTTTTTTCATATCTTGAGTAGTAAATTTTGTTATGTGCACCTCCTGTTTTGGCTGTTCAAAACTACAGTCATTTGCAAAGTTACAGGTTGGTGCAAAAGTAATCGTGGTTTTTGCTATTACTTTTAATGGGTTCAGTTATTTGGGGATCAATTTAGCCGTTTTCCTTATTATCCATTCTGTTTATTCCTCATCCACCATTTGATTTATCAGGACTTATTTAAAGGGAAGAAGCAGAACGTTGATCCCTGCTCTCCTTCTCACAAAGAAAGTGGTCTCTTTAGCCAGACTATTGGAACAAGTAGAAGGAAAACTACTTACTTTACTCACTCAGATTAGCAGCAGGGCTCCAGAGATCTAATATGCAAGCCAAACTCCCATGCTTACAGTAATTTACACAGTTAGACAGACTCACTTTTAATTAAAAGTGAGTCTCAGAAGTCTGACATGTAATTTTACTTAGAGTCAAGGTAAATTAATAATCAATGTCTAGGTGAAAAACAATCTTTGGGGACTAAAGCATTTTCAAGTACTTGCAAAACCTTCATCTCTTCTCATAACACTTACCAGTGATATTTGAACTCAGTTTTGCTGGTTGGTTTTCATTATGTTTTCGTATTATTTCACTAAGGGAATATAAGATTATACCAGATGCTTTAATTTTCATTGTATCATTACCACAGTTTTATGTACTTTATTTTTTCCATGAAAATCTTATAAAAGGTCAATAGATTATAAGGAGAAATTAATTCAGTTATTATAGAATCATCAATAGTTTAAAATATATCTATTCACTGCACCACACTATATGCAATGAATTAGTAAACATGATTTTTAAATTTAATTTTATTCTTTTAATAGAGACAAAGTATTGCTGTGTTGTCTAAGCTGGTTTCAAACTCCTGGCCTCAAATAATTCTCCCTCCTGTTCCTCCAAAAGTGTTGGGATTATAGGTATGAGCCACCATGCCTGCCCTAAATAAGAATTTAAAAGAGACTCTTTCTCAAGGCCTTTGTACTTTGGCAATTGAATCAATGCATACAAATAACCTCTTGGCCACAATATATTATTTTCTACTATTCTAAAGGATTTACTTTATTAGTACAGCCTTCACAATTTTTACACTGTGTTCATAGGTAAGTTAATCTGTAATTTTCTTTTTCCAGGCTGTCTTTGCCATGTTTTAGGGTCCAGGTGATAATTGACTTGGTATGGTTAATATGATATTCTACTTCTGTTCTGACTTCTTTCTAGAGGGCCTTTGGCTACTGTAGTAACTGGAAAGCTAAAAACTACATTTCTTCATTTCCCAGATTCCTTTGTAGCTACAGTTTCTGTGATGTAATTAGTTTCCATCGATCAGATGCACTTAAAAAAACTTTGATTTCAGCACTGAGTTCCACATTTTGCATATATGGATTTGGCACCTCTAGAGTGAGTATAAAGCCATTAGGTAGGGCCATGATTTATTCACCTCTGAATTATAGTTAAGGTGGCATGACCCTAGAGCCCAGCAGTTGTCATAGTGACTTCTGATAATCCAGCTTCCTGATTCTAGCTAAGATAGAAGGTCAATTGGCCATACAGTTATACAGTATTGTACTAGGGGTCATTCCTGGACATGCAGCCTGAAACCTACTACCTCAACCCATCCTGTGAGGTTGTAAGCAACAAATTATTCATATGAAGTCATTTATTTTCTGCTTAAAATAGCCAGAGTTGTTTTTGTTTTCTACAATTGAGCCTTGGTCGACATAGTAGTTGGTATTAGAAATGAGTATAAGCAACAGCCCCTCAGGGATGGGAATATGAGATTGGCTGGCTGACCTAGTTGGATTTGGAGGCAGTGAGGATGTATTTACTAATAGAGGATGGGATACTATTGTTACAGGCTGAATTGTGTCCCCTCAAAATTCAGGTGTGGAGCTCTAACCTCTGGTACCTCAGAATGTGACTGTATTTTGAGATAGGGCCTTTAAAACAGTAAATAAGTTAAAATGGGGTCATTGGGGTAGGCTATATTCCATTATACCTGGTGCCCTTGTAAGAAGACGAGATTAGGACACAGACACAGGCACAGAGGGAAAACCATGTGAAGACACAGTGAGAAGGCAGCTATCTGTAAGCCCAGGAAATAGGTCTCACAAGAAACCCAACTTTCTGACACCTTGATCTAGGACTTCTAGCCTCCAGAATTATGAGAAAATAAATTTCTGTTGTTCAAGCTACCCAGTTCGTGATATTTTCTTATGGCAGCCCTGCCAAACTAATACAGCTAATAATAGACTACAAAATTCTGTGGCAATGCTACTTAAATGACTACTGGTGGACAACTAAAATAAAGTGGCCCATTGAAAGCCAGCGAAGAGGTAGGGCCACACTTCTTTATTATTATGCAGAATTCAGAGCTCTGAGGTGGTTTGGCTGCTTCAACTTCACTGAAGAGTTTAAATAAAGAAAACAATGGCCTCAGGGTTTTAGATTCTTAGCTCAAGGTATTGTCAGAAGATTGATAGTTTTCTGTGACAATCCTAAAAGTCCTCCTATCTCCTGTAACTGCAGTTACAGGTAACTGAAAATCAGATGCAGAGTTTGATATTGCAGGTCACTGAATCAGGCCATAATTTGAATTCACAGCCTCATCAGGTCTGTGATTTTCAGGCATTAACTGGGAAAACGTAGGACTTCTTAAAATTGAACAGTAGACTGAGTGCAGTGGCTCACACCTGTAATTCCAGTACTTTAGGAGGCCCAGTCAGGAGGATTGCTTGAAGTCAAGGGATATAGACCAGAATGGACAACAAAGTGAGACTTTGTCTCTACAAGAATTAAAAAAATTAATTGGGTATGGTAGCACACACCTGTAGTCTTAGCTACTCGGGAGGCTGACGTGGAAGGAGCGCTTCAGCCCAATAGTTCAAGGCTGCAGTGAACTAGTCACACCGCTGTACTCCAGCCTGGGTGACAGAACAAGACCCTGTCTCTAACAAAATTAACAATTTTTAAAAAATTGAATAACAACATTTAGGAAGAGTTGGATAATTCTAAATAGTCAAACCTCAGAACTCTACTGGCCCTGCCATTTCAGCAGAAGTAACTCCTCCTATAAGGGCAGATGAAAGTTGATCCTGCCTTGCTTGGATACCCTGTATTGACCTCACCTAAAATATACAGGCACGGGGATTCCAATGCTCCTTGTGCCCAACCCCTACCATCCTTCACTGCCTCCAAACCCATCATCAGAGTCAGATCCCAACATGCCCAGAGAGCCAATTACTGTCAAACCCAGGAGGAGAAGGCTTGCATGCCTGAAGAACTGTAATCCTATATAATGGCAAAAAACTGGGAAATATGCATGGAAATGGTTTCTGAGGAATTCCTAGACCAGAAAGAGGGGACTTAATTCTGGATCAGGTTAAATTTATTGACACAGGTACATGTACCAGAGAATGTAGATTTGATATGCTAGCTTGGGCAGCTGAGAATGGCTCTAATTGATGGCTTAGTTGTTTAATTATACTCTGAACTCAGCTATGGATTGTGCTGAATGAAGCTGAGATATCAGGAATTCCTTGGCACAGTATAGAGGAAATGATCTATAGACTTAGAGAGAAAGAAATGTTGAAGTGGATTCATCTCATGCAACCAGCTCATCTAGGCCCTCTGGATTCTGTTTCCAACGAGAATCCAGAGCATACCCCCTTCACTGAGAAACTGATGAGAGAGCACTTGGAAAGCATTGTAGTGAACATCTTCCTCTTGTGGGCTGGAGATAATGGTGGAAAATGATGCCATTAAAATGGTCTCCCTGATTTCAGTGGAGATGATGAGACTCGAGGTAGCAGGGGCAGAGTAGAAACATTTAGTTGACAGAGACAGGGTGAACATAATTCCATTATATGTGGTAGGCCCCATGTAGTACTCAAATGATTTAATGCTTGGGACAGTAAGCAATTTATGGTGGGGTGCAGTAGACTGAAATATATGGACTGAAGTCCTGCTTAATGGAGTAATCAAAAGAACTCTGTCTAGATTCAGTGAAGAATGAGAGACAGCCTCTCAACCATCTCCAGAGTTAGTATCTTGCTTGAAGAGGAGGCCTACAATCCATGGAGAAGGACTGAAAAGACATAATAAGAACATAAACTGACTCGTTTTACCTTCCTTAAAGAGTCCTGGGAATACTTACTAGGGACACTGTGCTCTGGAGAAAGGGAAATGTCTAGCTTTGAGGGGATTTTAAGTATTGTGTCTGAGCTTACATAATTCTTGTAGATCTAAAACATCCTAACAGTGTATCTGGGAAGTTAGAGGCTGGTGAGAAACGGGGAATAAATCAGTTAATTTGACCTGGTTCCATCTCACTGTGGACTCAATCTGTGTTATCTCCTCAGTTTCTGAGTATGTGGTTGGAATGAAAAAGAAAAACAATGTTTATTTCACGCACCACATCTAGAAAGTTACTAGACTTTCCAGACCAGGTGATGACGATGATGATAGCTAACATTATTGAGTGTTTTTTTTAAATGTGTCTGGCACTGTGTCAAGAGCTTTACCCACGTGGATCTCATTTAATTCTCTCCAAAAACTTTGTTGTTGCTTTTGTTATTTTCACTTTACAGATAAGGAAACCAAGACCTAGAAAGATTGGATAACTGTGTTATACAAAGTTATGAAGTATATGGCAGAGTTATTCTCAATTTAAGCTCTTTGACACCAAAGCCAATGCTCTCATTTACATTTCTTTATTGCCTTATATATGGCTATGTTACATGAATATTGATTTACTAATTAATTATTTGAAAGTACAAATCGCACAGGGTCATGTAAACATGTAACAGCTTGTTTTTCTCTGCCTGCTTTGTTTTCTAGACTGATTCCATGCTCAGGGGACACAGGCAGTCTGATATTGGCAGATGAAAAAGGAGACCTCAGGTGTCATATCACAGCAAACCCATTCAAGGTAGACTTGGTGTCTGAAGAAGAGGTTGTGATGAGCATAAATTCCCTGGGCCAATTATACTTTGAGCATCTACAGATTCTTCACAAACAAAGGTATTTTTATACATTACTTGACACATAAAGACCTTAAGATAACCTGATTATGAATATCAGTTGCCTATATAGATAATATATCACCATAGAAAATTGGTTTGCCTTATTTGCTCTAGTATTGTTCTGAGAAATTTTATCTTTTCACCTGGGAAGGTGAGAGTACAGGCTTTATGACAATAATAAATCCCAAACTTTTGTAATGTTACACTCTTAACATGTCCTGTGTGTGCCTGATGGTGTTCTCTACCCTGTATACCCTTCTATTAAAGCACTGTGTTGACCCATCAAATGTTAATGTGAACTAGCATACCTTCATAATTTCACTTCACTGCCTTATAATAACACAAATTACCCTAGACTTGAATACTTGTCCAGGAATTTTCTGGGACCATCTGCTTGATCAAAGCTGTTTGTGTGGGCTGCTCACATGAATTAGGAAGTGTTGGTAAGGAGGAGATTCTTTTCCATTCTTACCAATACTGTTTTAAATAAATCTTTTAGTCTATAGTTCTTTCTATTTTTATCACAATAATGAACATATTATATATGATCTGCAGAAATCATTCAACTTTCATTATTTAAACATAGTTTTTTTCTGGGTTTCAACTCATTTTCTTTTAAAATTTTGATATTAAAAATATCTCATTTGCTCATCTTAAAACTAATACTTGTTCATCATAGGCAAATTAGAAAACATTGAAAAGAAGAATATTTAAACTCCCTATAATCTCTCCACCTACTGTGTTAGTGCCTTATCAATATTAAGTACTTGTTTAACTGAAAAATACTGATAATAGCATAACAAATATCTGTGTACTCACTCCCCATGTTCTTTATATTTAAAACCTTTTTTCTAGCCAGTCACAGTGGCTCACTCCTGTAATCATAACACTTTGGGAGGTTGAAGTGGGCAAATCAATTGAACCCTGGAATTTGAGGCCAGCCTGGGCAACATGGTGAAACCCTGTCTCTACAAAAAAATTAGCCAAGTATAATGGCATTTGCCTATGGTCCCAGCTACTTGGGAGGCTGAGGTGGGAGGATCGCTTGAGCCCAGGAGGTCAAAACTGCAGTGAGCCGTGATCATGCCTCTGTACTCCAGCCTGAGCAACAGAGCAAGATTCTGTCTCAAAACAAACACCGCCCTCCCAAAAAAAGCACGTTTTTTTGTTTTGTAAACTCTCATTATTTTGTTTTCTTTTAAAGGTTGTTTTCTTTCCTAAGTTGACTTTTTTATTATGTAGAAGAGGCATATGGTACAAAGGAGTATATGTTAATTTACATTTCTGTATAGTAAAGAGTTTCCTTTACCCTTTGTCCTCTAGCTGCTCACTTCCCATCCTTGAAAGTACTCTGTTCTAGCTGGGTGCTGTGGCTTGTGCCTGTAATCCCAGCACTTTGGGAGGCCAGGGCGGGTGGATCACCTGAGGTCAGGAGCTCAAGACCAGCCTGGCCAACATGCTGAAACCCTGTCTCTACCAAAAATACAAAAATTAGCCAGGTATACTGGTGCATGCCTGTAGTCCCAGTTACTCGAGAGTCTGCGACAGGAGAATCACTTGAACCCAGGAGGCGGTTGCAGTGAGCTGAGATCATGCCACTGCACTCCAGCCTGGGCAAGACTTGTCTAAAAAAAAAAAGATAATGTGTTTCCAGTTTTTTGAGTATCCTTTCAGAAACAATTTATGTATGTACATTTTAGATATATTCTTTGACTTTTCCTTTCCTGACACAATGGCACCACCTTTACACATTATTTTACACCTTGCTTTCTTTCTCTTAACAATGTGACAATTCTTTTTTTTTTTTGAGACGGAGTTTCGTTCTTGTTACCCAGGCTGGAGTGCAATGGCGCGATCTCGGCTCACCGCAACCTCCGCCTCCTGGGTTCAGGCAATTCTCCTGCCTCAGCCTCCTGAGTAGCTGGGACTACAGGCACGCGCCACCATGCCCAGCTAATTTTTTGTATTTTTAGTAGAGACGGGGTTTCACCATGTTGACCAGGATGGTCTCGATCTCTTGACCTCGTGATCCACCCGCCTCGGCCTCCCAAAGTGCTGGGATTACAGGCTTGAGCCACCGCGCCCGGCAGACAATTCGTAATGTCTTTAAAGCAGCTACATAATTTCTGTTAAATGGCTGTCCCATGATTCACTGAGTAAATTCTCTATTGAGGGATTTAAAGTTGTTTCTAATATTTTTACAACTAATTAATTAGTTTACTAATAAACTTGAATATGTGTCATTGTGCATATATACAGATATATTCATAATATAGAGTCATAAAAGTATAGTTGTTGATCAGATGGTTTGTGCATTTGTAGTTTTGATAGGTATTGCCAAATTGCCTTTCATAGAGGTTATACTGCTTTATATTTCCATTATTTACTTTTATATATATAATTATATTTGTGTTAGGAAAATTAGATGATCTGACTGGAAAAATTTTTATGTTAGATTCTAACCTCGCAACATTAACAAAAATAAATTGCAGATGAATAAAAATTAAACATAACAAGACATAAAAATAGAGGAAAGTATAGAATAATATTTTTGTAATTGTGGTAGTGTGACATAAACAAGAGCATAAGGAAAAGATTGATAGATTTGGTTACTTACACCTTTTAAGCTTTGATTCTACTCAGAAAGCAACAAAAGAAAAAAATAAGCTTTAATATGGACACACACACACACACACACACCCCCCCCCCCGCCCCGAACAAAATTAAAATCCAGGACTTCCAGTTTCCCATCTGGCATGTAAGGAGCTTAGAAGTCACTACTCCATCCTAACAATGACTATAATCCCAGCACTTTGGGAGACCAAGGCAGGTCGATCATCTGAGGTCGAGAGTTTGAGACCAGCCTGTCCAACATGGTGAAACCCCGTCTGTACTAAAAATATAAAGATCTAGCTGGGCATGGTGGCATGCGCCTGTAGTTCCAGCTACTTGGGAGGCTGATGCAGGAGAATCGCTTGAACCCAGGATGCGGAGGTTGCAGTGAGACAAGATCGCGCCATTGCACTTCAGCCTGGGCAACAAGAGTGAAACTCCATCTCAAAAAAAAACAAAAAAGGATTGTTATGTCTGCTTGAAGTATTGATTCCTGTATCATTTTGTAATATCCCTCTTTATCCCCCCAAATTTTCCTTGCTCTGAAATCTGTTCTGTCTGAAATTGATATAGTTATTTCCATTTTCTTTTGATTGGTGTTAGCATAGTATAACTTACCTTCAGAGGTAACCAGTTTAGTAAATTTTGTGTTAATCGCTTCCTTGGGTTTTGGGGTTTGTTTTGTTTTAAGACAGAGTTTTGCTCTTGTTGCCCAGGCTGAAGTGTAGTGGTGCAATCTCAGGCTACTGCAACCTCTGCCTCCCATGTTCCAGCAATTCTCCTGCCTCAGCCTCCCAAGTAACTGGGATTATGGGCGCCCGCCACCACATCTGGCTAATTTTTGTCTTTTTAATAGAGACAGGGTTTCACCATGTTGACCAGGCTGGTCTCGAACTCCTCATCTCAGGTGATCCACTTGCATCAGCCTCCCAAAGTGCTGGGATTACAGGTGTGAGCCCCCGCACCTGGCCTTCTTGGGGTTTTTAATAGCATTCCCACATATTATCAATTCCCAAACAACACATTATTTGGGTTTGTCTTTTCTAAAACAACTTTTATGTAATAAAAGTATACTGTATACATTCTTTTGTAATGTATTTTTCACTCAATGTTTTTTCTTTTTCCTTTTTTTTTGGAGAGACAGGATCTCACTGTGTTGCCCATTAAATGTATAAAAGTTAGCCTACATCATTCACGATCATAGAAATACAAATTGAATTACATTTATTTTTTCTACAATTTTAGATTTGCAAAGACTGAAAGATTGATAAGGTCCCGCATTGCTAAGAATGTGGGGAAATGAGCACGCAAATACAACTGTGGGTGGAAGAATAAATTGTCACAATTATTCCAAAAGACTGTACTTTATGGTGCTGTGTTCCAGGAGTGAGGAGAGTCACACCAAGTGAGGGGAGTTATGTTCTATTTTGCTTATGGTTTTGTTGAAATACTACAACCGTGTATAAGCTTCATAATAAAAAATGGTAAAAGTATTTTTAACAGGGTTAACAAGAAAATTCAAACACTTCTACATTTTTAAAGAAATTAAGCTATTATAATGTTCATCGTTACTGTGCAATTTTATAAACTCATTTTTAAATATTTTTTTATTTTTTAAAAATGAGATCTCTCCACGTTACCCAGGCTGTCATTGAACTCCTGGGCTCAAGTGACCCTCTAATCTCAGCTTCCCAAGTAGCTGGGATTGCAGGCGGGCACTACTGTGCCCGGCTTCATTTTTATGTTTATAATTATGTTATATTTAATATGTTAAAGGATACAATTTATGGGGTCCCAGAAGTTGGAAATGAAAATCTTTATCATTGAACAAAATTTTTCAGTCTTGCCATTGAGTGAAACAACTTTATTTATGTTAAAACAGAACTGCTAAAGAAAACGAGGAGGAGGCATCAGTGGACACCTCTCAGGTAATCTAGATTGATCCATTTGTTGTTATCTTTTTCATCATCATCATAATGATGGGGTATATACGGAATTCTCTTTCTTCCTTCTACAGAAGGGTGCTTGTTAAATGATCTACTGCATATAAATAGGACCACCCATTTCTTTGGCTCACCTTGTAATCTCATTGATTCATTCATTCATTTCTTCATTCATTCATTCATAAAAACAAATGCTTCCTGAGCACCTGCTTTTTTCCAGGCACAATTGTTAGGCAAGGAGAATCAGCCTTGAATAAAATAAATCCCAAACATGTTCTCATAGAAATTAGAATCTATTGGCAAAGATAGACATTGAGTAAGTAATTACAAGCATGAGGATTATTACAAAATGGTGCTATAGAAGAATACGAGAGACCTGGCCAAAATGAGGGTCAGGAAAGACGTTTTGAGGGAAATAATGTTAAAGCTGAAACTGATATAATAGTATACATGAGTCAAAACGTTGGGAAAGAACGTTCCAGGTAAAGGAAACTGCATATCCAAAGATCTGGAGGTAGGACAGAGCACATTTGAAGAAATGGAATATGTATGCAATATATATTTATTTTAGCTAGAAGAAGGAAAGCAAAGGGGAGGATGGTATGTAATGAGGCTAGAGAGATAGGCAGGGCAGTTCTGTGGAGAGATTTGTAATAATTCTTTTATCCAACAATTATTTGTTAGGTACCTCCTATATCCCAGTCATTATTCATGGAATTGGTGAGACATCATTGAAAAATCTTAAGTCCCCCATCTATCATGGAGCTTACTTTCTTCCAAGCCATGTTAACCTTTCTAAGTTTGTCCTAAGAGCAAAGGAAAACTTTGGAAAGATTCTAAGTAGCAAAGATACATGTTCTTATTTCTATTTTTAAAAGATTATTTTGCTGAATTGTGAAGAATGGACACTACAGAAATCATCTCTCTCTTCATCCACAGTCACATGTATCTTCAAAATAGCATTTTCACAATATTGATTCTTCCTATCCATGACGATGGAATGTTTTTCTGTTTGTGTCCTGTCTTATTTCCTTGAGCAGTGGTTTGTAGTTCTCCTTGAAGAGGTCCTTCACATCTCTTGTTAGGTGTATTCCTAGGTATTTTATCCGTTTGTAGCAAATTCATGATTTGACTCTCTATTATGGATGTAAAGGAATGCTTGTGATTTTTGCACATTGATTTTGTATCCTGAGACTTTGCTGATATTGCTTATCAGTTTAAAGATTTCCTAGGCTGAGATGATGGGGTTTTCTAAATATAGAAAACAGAGACAATTTGACTTCCTGCAAATTGTTATCTGCAAACAGAGACAATTTGACTTCCTCTCTTCCTATTTGAGTATGCTTTATGTCTTCCTCTTGCCTGATTGCCCTGACCAGAACTTCCAATACTATGTTGAGTAGCACTGGTGAGAAAGGGCATCCTTGTCTTGTAACAGTTTTCAAAGGGAATGTTTCCATCTTTTGCCCATTCAGTGTGATACTGACTGTGGGTCTGTCATAAGTAGCTCTTATTATTTTGAGATATGTTCTATCAATATGTTGTTTATTGAGAGTTTTTAACATGAAGGGATGTAGAATTTTATCAGAGGCCTTTTCTGCACCTATTGAGATAATCATGTGGTTTTTGTCTTTGGTTCTGTTTATGTGACAGATTACGTTTATTGATTTGCATATGTTGAACCAGCCTTGCCCCAAGGATGAATCTGACTTGATCATGGTAGATAAATTTTTTGATGTGCTGCTGGATTCACTTTGCCAGTATTTTATTGAGGATTTTTGTATTGATGTTTATCCGGGATACTGGCTAGAAGTTTTCTTACTGCCCAAAATAATTTAGAGATTTAATGCTATTCCCATTTAACTACCATTGACATTCTTCACTGAATTAGAAAAAACTACTTTAAATTTCATATGGAATTAAAGAAGACCTCGTATAGCCAAGACAGTCCTAAACAAAAAGAACAAATCTGGAGGCATCATACTTCCTGACTTTATACTACAAGGCTACATTAACCAAAACAGCATAGTACTGGTACCAAAACAGACATATAGACCAGTAGAACAAAGCAGAGACCTCAGAAATAACACCACATACCTACAACCATCTGGTCTTCAAGAAAGCTGACAAAAACAAGCAATGGGGAAAGGATTCCCTGTTTAATAAATGGTGTTGGGATAACTGGCTACCCATATGCAGAAAACTGAAACTGGACCCCTTCCTTACACCTTATACAAAAATTAACTCAAGATGAATTAAAGGCTTAAACATAAGACCTAAAACCATAAAAACCCTAGAAGAAAACCTAGGCAATACCATTTAGGACATAGGTATGGACAAAGAGTTCATGACTAAAACACCAAAAGTAATGGCAGCAAAAGCCAAAATTGACAGATGGGATCTAACTAAATTAAAGAGCTTCTGCACAGCAAAAGAAGCTATTGATTTCAAATATTGGCCAAGATGGCCAAATAGAAACAGCTCCAGAGCACAGTTCCCAGCAAAAGCAACGCAGAAGGAGAGTGATCACCACATTTCCAACTGAGGTACTGGGTGCATCTCAGTGGCACTGGTTGGACAGCCAGTGTATCCCAAGGAGGGTGAGCCAAGGCAGGGTGGGGCAGTGCCTTACCCGGGAAGTGCAGCAGACCAGAGGACCCCCTCACCCCCACCACTTACCCAACGGAGGCCATCGGGGGCTTTTCCAGCCACTCCAGCACTCCAGTTTAGATACTGCATTTCTCCCACAGTCTTTACGTCCACAGACCAGGAGATTCCTGCCAGCCAGCAAACACTGCGGGTTTCCAGCACAAAAACCCACACAAATCTGGGCAGCCATTTTAACTGGTGCCTGCAACGCCTGCAAGACAGAATTTCAAAGCTGAATTGATCAAGGAGAAGAAAGGATGTCAGAGATTGAAGACCAACTCAATGAAAGAAAACGAGAAGGTAAGATTAGAGGAAAAAGAGTAAAAAGAAATGAACAAAGCCTTTAAGAAATATGGGATTATGTGGAAAGACCTAATCTACTTTTGATCGGTGTGCCTGAATGTGACAGGGAGAATGAATCCAAGCTGGAAAATACTCTTAAGGATATTATCCAGGAGAACTTCCCCAACCTAGCAAGGCAGTCTAACATTCAAATCCAGAAAATACAGAGAACACTACAAAGATACTCCTCAAGAAGAGCAACCCCAACATAATCTTCAGATTCATAAGGGTTGAAATGAAGGAAAATATGCTAAGGGCAGCCAGAAAGAAAGGTCAGGTTACTCACAAAGGGAAGGCCATAGGACTCAACAGAGGATCTCTCTGCAGAAACCCTACAAGCCAGAACAGAGTGGGGGCCAATATTCAACATCCTTAAAAGAACTTTCAACCCAGAATTTCATATCCAGCCAAACTAAGCTTCATAAGTGAAGGAGAAATAAAATTCTTTACAGACAAGCAATTGCTGACAGATTTTATCACCACCAGGACTCCTGAGGGAGCACTAAACATGGAAAGGAACAACCAGTACCAGCCCCTGCAAAAACATTCCAAATGATAAAGACCATTGACACAATGAAGAAACTATGTCAACTAATGGGCAAAACAGCCAGCTAGCATCAAAACACATAGCAATATTAACCTTAAATGTAAATGGGCTAAATGCCCCAATCAAAAGACACAGACTGGCAAATTGGATAAAAAGTCAAAACCCATCACTGTGCTGTATTCTGGAGACCCATCTCACGTGGAAAGACACATAGACTTAAAATAAAGGGATTGAGGAAGATTTACCAAGCAAATGGAGAGCAAAAAAAAAAGCAGGAGTTGCAATCCTAGTCTGTCATAAAACAGATGTCAAACCAACAAAGATCAAAAGAGACAATGGCATTACATAATGGTAAAAGGATCAATGCAACAAGAAAAGCTAACTATTGGGCCAGGCGCGGTGGCTCAAGCCTGTAATCCCAGCACTTTGGGAGGCCGAGGCGGGTGGATCACGAGGTCAAGAGATCGAGACCATCCTGGTCAACATGGTGAAACCCCGTCTCTACTAAAAATACAAAAAATCGGCTGGGCATCGTGGCGCGTGCCTGTAATCCCAGCTACTCAGGAGGCTGAGGCAGGAGAATTGCCTGAACCCAGGAGGCGGAGGTTGCGGTGAGCCGAGATCGCGCCATTGCACTCCAGCCTGGGTAACATGAGTGAAACTCTGTCTCA